GCCATATGTGATCAAAGTAATGGAGGAAGAAGCCACTAACAACATCTTCTTCATGAAATCTGATCATGTATTCAGAGAGTGAAGTGCTTCGGATGATCAAAGTTCAGAATGATAAAAAACAGGGGTTAAAGTAAATGAAATTTCTATGAGGCAATTAATCAAACACTTGGTGTGCAACAGAAAAGATGAACTGAATTAAAGATATTTATTCAATTGATCTGTGCCCATTTAAATAGAAAATGTAGAGCAACAGATTGCACAATATAAGGACTCAATGACTCCACGATCTGCAAAAAAGGAAACTAATCTTATCTCTAAAAATAAGGAACCATACTCCACTAAGTAAAGACTCAATAACAAACTTGGACTCTGTCAAATTATAAACTAATCCTGCAATTTATCTTGAAGACACGTAAACCAGAAATTGACAGCTAAGCAAAGAAATTGACACCAAAGCAAAAAACCCATTTCAGCATTATATTGTAACATGCTCCCCCTTAATGTTGAAATTTAAAACTCCAAGTAAATCCCTTAAATGGATAAACTTATCCAAAGGAAGTGGCTTCGTAAAAATGTCAGTGACTTGATCCTTTGAGTTGCAGTGAACAACTTCCAAGCCTCCACTCGCCACTAACTCCCTTATGAAATGGTGCCGAGTCTTAATGTGACAAGTTCGACTATGGAATACTGGATTTTTTGTCATCGCAATGGTCGATTGATTGTCACAAAATATTGTTGTTGGCTGCACTTGTACTTGCTTCATATCCTCCAGAATTCTTCTTGTCCATGTGGCTTGACACGCTGCTGCTGTTAAGGAGATATATTCTGCTTCTGAAGATGACAAAGCTGTAGAGGCTTGCTTCTTTGAACTCCAAGAAATAGCACCGGAACCCAAAAAGAAAGCATAACCTGAAGTACTACGCCAGTCATCAACACAACCTGCCCAATCACTGTTAGAGTACCCAAATAAATTAAATTGTTCATTTTTGGCATATAAAATGCCAAAAGAGATTGTCCCCTTCAAGTATCTTATAATCCTCCTCGCTGCTCCATAATGTGTCTTACTTGGACTCTGCATAAAACGAGATAGCACACTGGTGGCAAAAGTAATATCAGGCCTGCTGTTCGTGAGATAAAGAGGACTCCCAATAAGGCTGCGATAGGCATGAGCATCAACCTTTTCTTCTCCATCATCCAAACTGAACTTTTGATTAGAAACCATTGGAGTTCCCACTGAGTTGCAATCTTCCATTCTGCACTTCTTAAAGAGATCTTTAGCATATTTCTCTTGGGAAATAAAAATTCCCTCACCATTTTGAACCACTTCCAGCCCCAAAAAATATCTCATTAAACCCAGATCAGTCATGTCAAACTCATTAACCATCATTCTTCTAAATTCTTTCAACAAAAAAGAGCTATTGCTAGTGTATATTAAATCATCAACATAAAGACACACTAACAGTACCTCATCTCCACCTCTGGTCTGAATATATAAAGTAGGCTCACTTGGACTTTTATGAAATCCATGGCTGCAAAAATGAGCATTAATTCTTTCATACCAAGCTCTTGGTGCTTGCTTCAGACCATAAAGTGCTTTCTTCAACTTGTACACTTTCTGCTCCTGTCCTTCAATTTCATAACCCTGAGGCTGCTGTACATACACATTTTCCTCCAAGAATCCATTCAAGAAAGCTGACTTCACATCAAACTGAAAAACATACCACTTATGTTGAGCAGCTAAAGCTAAAACAGTTCGAATAGTATCAAACCTGGCAACCGGTGCAAAAGTTTCGTAAAAATCCACACCTTCTTGCTGCATGTAACCTCTAGCAACCAACCGAGCCTTGTGTTTATGAATTGACCCATCAGAATTGTACTTGGTCTTGTATACCCACTTTAGACTTACAACTTTGTTGTCTTTAGGCAAGTCCACAAGCTCCCATGTTTGATTTCTTTCCAAGGCTTCTATTTCCTCATCCATAGCTTTGCACCATTTTTTGTTCTCCATTGCTTCCTCAAAACAGCTAGGCTCCTCGACATGTGCCATTTGACACCTTTGAGTTTGTTCATAGATTTCCACCAAGGATCTTACTCTCCTTGCTTTCCTTGGAGCTGGAGGTGCCTCAGGTGAGGATGGACATGATCTGCTGCCACTGTTAGGTGTAGAGGAAATTTGACCTTCACCCATTTCACCTTCAGTCATGACTGGATCATCCTCCAAAATGCCATCAACCAACACAGAACCTGGACTTTTCTTCTCATTCCAATTCCATGAATTTTTCTCATCAAAAATCACATCACAACTGATTAGTAACTTCTTGGTAATAGGATTATAAAATCTGTAACCTTTAGTTTCATCACTATAACCAAGAAAAATGCACTTCACACTATTTTCTTCAAATTTTGTCCTTTTTTGAGATGGAACATGGACATAAGCTAGACACCCGAAAATTTTAAAGTGAGCTACCTTGGGCTTCCAGCCATGCCAAGCTTCGAAAGGAGTTTGATGATGCAGAGCTGCTGTGGGACTGCGATTCTGAATATAAGCTGCGGTGTGAATTGCTTCTGCCCAGAAACTGTTTGGAAGACCTTTTGCTTTCAGCATGCTTTTTGCCATCTCCACAAGGCTTCTATTTTTCCTTTCGGCTACCCCATTTTGTTGAGGGGTATAGCTTGCTGTCAACTGCCTTTTGATGCCGAAATCTTCACAAAATTTGTTAAATTCAGCTGAAACAAATTCCCCACCTTGATCTGTCCGTAGAACTTTGATTGAACATCCACTTTGCTTTTCAACAAGAGCTTTGAATTTTTTAAAGATTGGGAAGGCATCTGACTTTTCTTTGGGAAAGTAAACCCATGTCAGTCTACTAAAATCATCAACAAAGACAATAAAATACCTGCTTTTGTTGAGAGACAAAGTATTCATTGGCCCACAAACATCTGCATGTATCAACTCAGCAGGTTTCAAAGCTCTTCTCACCTTTCCTTTGGGAAAAGCATCTCGATGATGTTTGCCATAAACACAGCTTTCACACACACCATCAACTTGTTTAATGATAGGCAATCCAAGCACTAAATTCTGTTTTGACAAATGTACTAACCCCTGGAAATTCAATTGCCCGTATCTATGATGCCACAACCAATTTTCATCATGCAAAGTGACATTCAATGCAGACTCACAGTCAAGAGTTAAAGGAAAACACTTGTTTTT